CATGGTAACCAGATTAACTTTAAGAAAATGGTCATCAGTATCTCAGGGAAACAGGAATTTATTGATTGCTAAAACATCTATCAGCTTAGCTAATCAAACATTATAAACAGTTAAAAATAGTTATTTCACAACATAAGTTGAACATTTAAAGAATATAGGTGTTGAAAATGTTTCACTTTAAAGCTATTCCATGTCTTTAACAGGGCCGCTGCCATCACAATCCTCCCCGTCTTTATGTTCATCCAACATTTCAACATATAGATAATTAATTGATGGGCTCCAAACGCGAAAGTTAAGAAGAATTTACCCCGATTTGTGGTCATTGCTGATACAATCCTTTGTTCCATCTGCAGCGGGGTTTTGCTCCCAGATTCTCAGGGTGGGAAACTTTTGTTTGCTGCTTGAAAAGAAACAGGCTGCGCCTATTTGTGAATGAAGGGATTAGCTGGAACACTTCACCCCAGCAAGGACCATGATCCTATCTGGTTGCCTGGACACATGGTTTTGTTTCTTAGGCAGCGTGAGAGCCAGGCCAGCTCCCCACCTCAGCTGGACTGAATTAAGTGGCAGATGAAAAGAGGCAGAGTGTGTAAAAATCATGAGTGTGTGGCACCATCCTGATGGAGATATGCCGAAACGGTGGTAGAACCTTAAGACCGTCTCATTCGCACACCTACTCGTGTGTTAGGCGGGTCTCTCTGTCTTATAATGCACAGTGTAAATGCAGAAATGCTCAGAAGTAAATTATTCTCCACTGTTAAAGCCTTCCTCCCACTGAACACAAAGCTTTGAGAAAACCCATTGATTATATGGTATTTATCCCTCTGTGGGCCAAAGGTCAGAGGGGTCAGCCTGTGGCTCAAAAAGGCCAAATCCAACACCTATTGTGCAGTTTGGGGTGAGAAAGCAGGGGGCAATGGCAGCCAAGTTTAGGGGCCTATTTTCTCATAAAGAAGTTCTTCTGCACTTATTACAAAAGCTTACAGGGGGAAAAAAAATCCACGACCAACAAAAAAAAAAAAACCTTTGAGAAGTTAACAGAGCGCGGCGAGGTGAAATGCCACCACTAACACACACACACAAACACTCCTTTTAGGTTTCTCTTTTCCTTTTCTTTTTACACTTCAAGATATTATTCGGTATTTTTATTTTCAGCAGCCGTCAGTTTCACGGAATAAAAACGACCGCTGAGCTGTTTGTCAGTGTGTGTCAGCCGCAGATCAAGGGTGAAGATTCTTGTGACAGAATATTTGTCATTTCTATTCTCAAGTTTCAGGATTGTTGGTGACAGAAGGATCAGGTCTACATCTGTGGATGTCTGCGAGTGTCAGCGAGCGACGGTTTCACCGTCGCGGAGAAACTAAACTTTCACCACTGACTGAAAAACGCACGAGCCGCAGAGAAAGCAGGAGTTCGCCGTGTACAATGGTTGATATAAAGCGGGGTAATTAAAGCAGCTTTGATGTATTCTCGTTGGATAAGGTGCTCTCCCTGCAGCTACCATTCAGACAGGAACAGAAAGCGCTCCCCCTGCTGGCCGCAGCAACTACCAAAAAGAGGAAGTCAATTGAATCACAGGTTATAAAGAGATTCAATTTGCTACTTTTTTTTTTTTTTACGTGTTTTGCTTTAGTTTTGGATGGCTCATTATCCAGGCCTCACAGCTGCAGCTTCCAGTAGAATTAGCAGAGTATGACTCAGGCACAGAGGGAAGCTGGTTAGACACTCCAATGATTTCCTGTACGGTCAGCGGATGCAGGGAGTGGGGTGGCAGCAGAGGCGTTCAAAATGGAAAGCCTTTTGTTTACAACTAAAATATTGTGATCTGCGGGTGAGAAAAGGGCCCTAGTCATTAGGCTTTAGTAGAAAGACGGGGATCGTTGAAGTTGTGTGTGGAGCCTATGACTAATAGGCTCGGTCATTGAGGCCCTGAACCTTATTGTGTGTCCTTTGTGGGGGCTAAAGTCCCCCAAACAGGTGCAGCTCATTCCACCGGAGTGGCTCAGTGAAGGATTGTTGAGATCAGGGAATGTCTTTCATCCCATCTTCTTTGTGTCAAAGGGATAGTTCAGCATTTTTTCAAGTGAAGATCTGTTAAAACGGTACAAGCTCGCGTCTTACTGGCTGTAAATAACCGTCTTAGAGGAGAAACCAACATTACAGGTTCATCTTTATAAATGAGGTATATCACTGGAAATGTATTCATTTAAAATTCAATCCAACATATTTTGATTATACACGCTAATAAGGTATCAAAATTCTGTTTCTCGTAAATGCTCAATATTACATTTGACCAATAAAAGATGAGAAATGTTTTATTCTGAAATAATCACTGAGAAGTACTGTACTACTCGGTTTGTGGGAGTTGCTCATTTGCACGACTTACTTCATCAATGCAGCGTGGTACGGAGTGGTTCTGTTAGGGAATCCCAGGTTGCTTTGCAAACAGCCTTCAGGTCCTAAGCATCGTTTGGCCTGGTGTCTCATCTGCCTCTTGTTAATACTCTTAAAGTTTCTCAATGAGGTTGAGGTCAGTTTGTTGATCATTGAAGAACAATGCCATCACCATCATCATTAAAGCTAGTATCAGTACTTTGACAGTGAGGGCAGCTGTGAAGTCCTGCTGGAAAATAAAATCGTTCCCATAAACAATTTCATCAGAAGAATTCTGCAGAATTTCCTGATAGACGTTCTGATGTTTAGGACACAGATCCTTAAAGAAATAATCAAAATACCTCTAATGCTTAATGCAAGATATGAGACAGTTATGCCCAAGGGTAGGTCTGTGTGTGGTGGAGATTCAATCAGTGACATCAGCTGCAGTCCATGCATGGTGAACCTCCCCCAAGTTATCCGTTCTAAACTGTAGCTGCTGGTGTAACTTTTTCCCTTCACTCAACTTTCTCTTTCTATGATGGCACAGAGGCATTCTGAACCGGCATCTACTTCAGCAGCTAACTTTTGATGCTCTGCTTCTTTGTAGAGAATATCAGTGACTGTAACCCAGACAGCTGTCAAGTCAGCAGTCTTCATCATTATTTATACATTTATGTTTCTATAACAATTATTTTCGTCTTGTGCAATATTTTGAGCTTCATTGGCTGCAAGCCATAATCTTCAAAATAAACAGAAAACACTTCAAATAAATCAAACTGTGTAATGAATCGATGCAAGTTTCACTTTTTGATTTGAATTACTGAAATAAATTAACTTTTTAATGTGGGGTAGTATGAAATAAAAAATATTTTGGGCTTCATATGTAAATCGTTGAAGTCATTCAGGGCCGCCTACTGCTTGCTGCTACAAAGCTCCGCCTATTTCACCAAAGCTCCGCCTTGGAGGACCTGCACATTTACACAGGCAGATTATTGATCATGTCACACCTCCAACCTGTATTTCTAGTGTAAATAGAAACAGAAGAAATCTATAAATTACCACTTAAGATGTGACAACTGTTTAAAGCTTCATAAAATAACATAAAGCACAGTTAAGTTTGAGTGTTGCATTGCTTCAGGATGGCTGATCTCCATTTTGGTCATTTGATCACTCTTGGGCGAGCCAATAGGGTCCAACTGATGTGAAATTTTACAAATTATTAAAATAATACATTTCAGGTAAAATATAAAACTGCTTATTAACCTGAACACAACCTCACATCAAGAATCCTGTATCATTTGTCTATTATCTACATCTATAAAATGCTGAGCTTTGCTTTGTTTGAACAAATCAGGAGGCATTGATTAGTAAACAATGCTATGTGCGGTGTGTTTGATTTACTCCTTAAAATGTGAATTTGCTTGATTTGTTTTCTGGTTCTCTTTCTTTCTTTGAGCGGGCTCGTCTGTCTGCTAACTTGATTGAACCTAAAGCAAGTGTCTGACACTCTTCCCTCTTAGTATGAGTGTGCTGTATCCCTTTCCCTGCGTTAATTCCAATTTAATTGCCAGTTGCCTCAAGGCACTTCAATAACAGTAACAAATGATTTGATTTAGTGGACCTCATCAGACTGCATTTTAAATGCGACACAGCAACCCCACTTGAATTCCAATGAAGTGCTGGCACAGTCCTCTGTTTACTAATGATCCTCTGCTGGAGATGTCTGATTGAATCTGAGTCAGGAGCAATGGGACCTGCTCACATTGTAAATGATCTGCAACCTGAGCAGACAGAGAAATAAGGACCTCATAATCTCACATTAAAGCATCGCTCTCCAGGACACGCACAATATGTCAATGCTGCCGATTAATCCTGGTCTCTCCAAATAACCGCACATGTGAGTTTGCGTCGGTGCGAACGCCAGAAAAGGGTTTGAGAGCCGGCGTCTGCTACCACCGCCCAAACCCGGTAGATCAAGTGTCGACTGTATGACAGCCAGTGGATCTTCTTCACGTAGCCATTTTGACTTGAACAACCCTGCCAGCGACTCCCCTATCTGTATTCCTCGCCACACTCCGTGCAACAGGAAAGCAGCCCCAAAGAGATGCCAGGTCACACACAGGATTAAACTGGATTGTGTTTTTTCCTGCAGTCCTGCCTTTAATGGCTTGATATCGCTACTTAACATTCAGCACGGAGCACGTAGTGTAGGCATCATTTAGGGTGGAGCCACTATCAGCTGCTCTTTGAGCACAGAGACGGAGGACTTCACAGGCTGAAGCCGACTCCTGATGGGGGGAATGAAGAGAATAATTAGACATCTTACACGCCAGGAAGGAGGCATTGATTGTGTGATTGGCATGCCATGTGCATTGTGTGGGGGGAAAATTCTTAAAGAAAACAATCACTTTCATGGTTTAAAATAGCGGCGTATAAAGACTCGCAGCTGAAAGTGCCTCTGGGCTTTTAGGGGAGTTAGTTTAGGTAGAGGCGCTTGCTCTTTGAAAGAAGCTTTTCCCTCAGAGGACTTGCACAAAGTTGAAGTGACCCAGTTTCCCCACTTAAGGCCCTGTCTGTGTATGGTACTGAAATAACTGCGCGTCTGTGTCTTGTGTGTTCTCCAGGGACTGACATGGCGGTGTTCTGTCTGCTGTGTGCGAAGCGCTTCCAGACCCAGAAGGCCCTGCAGCAGCACATGGAGGTCCACGCAGGGATGCACAGCTACATCTGCAGCCACTGTGAGCGCCCCTTCCCCAGCCACACCACCCTCAAAAGACACTTGCGCTCCCACACGGGTAAGAGGTCATCTTTGCCATTACCAAATGAATTTTTTTTTTTTTAAATATCCAAACTGACCCGGCGATATTTGAAAAAGGAATCTTTACAATACAGAAAATCTATATAGTAATCATAAATTAAATAAATGAATCACTTTTTGCATCAGAAGTTGAGTCAATATTTGCCACAAGATCTAATTACCTTCAGGCCAAATAAATCCTTTGAACAGAACTTGCCCAGCATCAGAAAGCTAAACGATTTATAAAAATAAACACACTGTCTCGATCTAAACAAATTTAAAAACAGATGAGAAAGTTGTCATTTGTCTGAAAGAGGCTAATGAAGACATTTCCAAGCCTTTGAGATCGTCTTACCACAGTTGGAGTGATCATCTACCAATGGGGAAAAACAGTGGACATCCACTATGCTAGCCATTTGTAGCCGACCAAATAGAATCCAGAATCATTCGAAGAATCCATCAATGCCCAAGGCCCATTAGAATCCCAAATCATCAGCCACTTCAGATTTCACTTGACTAGCTTAGATTGTGTTCAAAATCCAATAAGATGAGCTGCAGACTGAGCAAGAATGGCCTCAACAAAAGTCTTTCCGGAAACCACTGCTGGCCCTTTTCATATTTACATCTAAAGCATCCTAATGATGATCTCAAAGACTTTGTAAAAAGGTGTATATCCCAGTAAATCTTCCTTTAAACCAACAGCATTTCACAAAACTATATTGACAGTCATATAAGATTGTGTTTGTCTCGTGAGGCTTCTTGTCTTCAGGAGAAGAATAAAAATGACTGTGTAATTTATGAAACCTAGAATTCAGCTCTCTGCCATATGAAGCGATAACCAGCCATCAGTTTGTGAATAGTTGAGTTATGGTAAACAATCCAAAACACACTAGTAAATTCACCACTGAATGGCTCAGTCGAAAACAAACTTTGACAATGGTTGAAATGGTATAACGCGACTTTAAATAGGCCGAGAACCCCGCATCACTGTTGACTTAAAGCAGTTCTGGAAGAAAAAGCTGTTGTTCTATCAGTGTGTGGCAGAAACAGCTGTTAATACTGGGAAAGATTACCATTTCACTTAGTGCCATGCTTGTTTGGATAGCCTTTTTCTCTTAAGAACTGATCACACTGGAATATTAGCACAGCATGCAGCACCGCTGCCTTGCAACAAAAAGTTCTGGAGTTTGAATCCTGACAGGGAGTTTTCTGCATGGCCATCCGTTGCATGTGTGGACTGTCTCTGGGTTTTCCAACCTCCTCCCACAGTGCAACAACATGCACGTTTGGTTAATTGGTTGCTATAATTTACCCTGCATGGCTGTTTGTCCTGTGGTGGACTGGCAACCTGTCCAGCCCGTCACCCGACGATCCCTGGAAGCAGGCCGCAGTCCCATGGGTAGAAGACTGAATAGCTGGATGAAAGGAGAAATACTTTTTCACAGCATTGTATGTCGAAAAGACGAAGAGCTGTGTTATTTCTGTATATAGGTTAATTTCCTCAGGTTATTGGCTGTAAGGTTTTTAGTCAATTTGCACGCATCCTCTCCCACTCTTTCCTTTTCACTCTCTATAGGATGACTCACCTCTCTGATGACAGCACTGTACCTTTATGGCCGGTGCGTATTTTTGGGCAATCTCATCCTGTTTATATTTCGGGTTCTTAGACAGCCTTTGGGGCCTCAGCAATTCATGGCTGTCACTTCTTGTGTGGTTCACGGAAAATGATAGAGGAAACCCAAATAAATATTGAAGGAAAAGCAAATGGAAATGACTTGTCTCTGTGTGCTGCTGAGGGTGAGTCTCGGTGCCGCAGGAGACGGGGAGATATTTACTGAAAAGATGTCCCCTTTTCTTCTCCTACCTTAAATAACACTACCAGCTGTCAGGACGGCTTGATGTCTAGACGGGAGAAATACATAATTGATGTGAAGAGACAGAAGTGAAGGGAGTTTTGGCCATGGCGGCGTATCTTGTTTGTATGCCATTCTGCTTGGAAGTAACATTTTGTAAATGTCATCTGCTCCACAGTGGGGTGGGGGATTGGGGAGAATCGGCCTGTAATGAGGAGAGCAATGTATCCTCTGACTTGGCTGTTGCTGTGGACACTGAGATAATGAGGCACATAGGTCATTGGAGATGAGTCAAACCCTCAGCCTAGGAGAGAAATAGATTAACTACAGTATAGGGAACAGAGCAGCACATGCCCGGAGGACTTTTATTAGCTGTTAGCATACAGCCAAGAGGAGTGTCCTCGTGTCAAAACATTAGCGACTTTGTTTCCCTAATGGCCGTGTGGTTATCTGACCTACGCGGTTTCGCCTGCGCCAACGACATGCAGTGCCAACGACAAAGTTGTCCTGTGATGCTTCTTGTAACGCCGGCCCGCGCGTGTGACGCGACTGTGCTCCTAGGCGATCACCCGTTTGAGTGTGAATTCTGCGGGAGCTGCTTCAGAGACGACGGCACGCTCAGGGGCCACAAACGCATCCATACCGGGGAGAAGCCCTACGAGTGCAATGGCTGCGGCAAGAGATTCAGCCTGAAACACCAGCTGGAGACGCACTACCGGGTTCACACAGGTGAGACTCTGAAAGTCACACACCGACACAGTGCATTGCAACATTATTCATATATAGGCCTTCAAGTTTTCCCTTCGTGTTTCATCTGAATATTTTGGGGCTTTTATGCGGTAGACCAACACAAAGCAGTGCATGTTGTTGATGGAATCATCATCTTTGCCTTTTGGCTTTTCTCTCTAGGGTTTGCTGCAGTGAGTCATCTGCCTCCATCTGACCCCATCTTCCACAGTGTAGTTGATGGAACATGATTTTTATCATTGAAAAATGTCCTTACAATAATCTGAAAATCTTTTTTATTCTCCCCTTATATTGTAGAAGTAACTCCAGGGTCACACAAAGAAACATGGGACAGCTACAGCTGCTACACCTCCTGGTGTTGGTCTCTACAAAACAATATGACAATTTTTCTATGTAAAATAGCTTAAGTAGAGCTAGGCTTGATTGGGAAAATTTTATTCTAAAAGTGTTTAAAGATTTTAATTTAATTTATGCCTGGACTTTGACTAGACCAGAAGGTAAGGATCATTCTCAGCCTCTAATCTTTTAGAATCTCTTACAGAATTATTTCTGGCATGAAATATAATTCCTTTAATCTTACTCCTGGTATAATAAGACAGTCTTCCTGCCTCTCCTCTGTAGTGGCAGCATTGTACTGCGTATCTGTGCATCACAGAGGCAGTAGTGTGTTGAGCAGTGGTAGTTTTCTGCTCCATGTTCTCTTTCATCACAATGTTTGATCGTTTACAAACCTTTGCGGAGCAACTGAGATAAAAGTAAACGCAGGTTTACTTTTAAAATTTAGCCACATTAAATTTCATTTTACTGTATTCTAGTGGTCAAATTCTGAATGAATGAATTGTGGTTCCACTTCACAATTATGTGGTACATTGTTTTGGCTTATCACATAAAATCCATTGAAGTTCGTGGATGTTATGTGAAAATAGAGGAAAAATATAAAGAAACAACAAAAACAACAAATGTTTGAACATTCGTTGTAAGGCTCTGTACCTTTTATGCACTACTTACCAAGGCCAGAAAAAATGGATTCTTTTCATTAACACACATTCTCCATTCAGTGAGCCGACTTAAAGAAACCACACAGCAACACACACACTCCTTCAAACATACCACCTTTTTTAGCAGGCTATTAATAAAATAACCAGCAACAAGACCATGTGAGACTGAATAGACATTTTCAATTCATTTTCATTTTTCTTGTGTGACCAGGCTGCTCTAGTCAAACAGGAATCTGTGCAAAAGTGACCAAAGTTTTAGATTTTCCATTACAAAATTAGTTTTTGATTCTGAAGTGGACATAAAGAAAAGACAGAAAGCATACAAGAGCAAATAAATAAAGAGTAAAGAAAGAGTAAATAATGCTTCATTTGTTTCAAACAGACCTTGATGAGATTTAATTCAACAAGTTTTCAATTTCAATTGTATTTCTTTGGTGTAGCTGCTGCTGCTCAAGTCTGACACCCAGTGGTTTGCTTTGGTTCAATAATGTGCTGCTCAGTGTACATTGGCTGAGCTTCATACACAAAGTCACAGCAGCTTTTGTCATTTCCTAGACTTCCAAGTAAAGCTTTCAGCTATTTAAATGCAGAAAAGTTCAATATGCATTTGAAGCTGATTTTGGCTGGAAAACGTAGACATTGCAGTTGAAAAAAAAATCTGAAACGTTCACTGCAGACTCCCTTTTAGGTCAAGTCAGGTCAAGTTTGTTTGAATTGGCTTGCTCCTGAACTGTGCATTACGTGACAAGGTTCCTATGCAGTCTGGAATAATATGGGATGCCATGAGGCTCCCAATGTACAAATACCTTGGTGGTCCTTGGTCTGCCTTTAGTGGTACTCAATAACTTTAGTGTAATTATTTGCGAGGTAAACTGTCCATTTATGAAAACTCACACTCCAGACTTTTCAAGGCTCCAATAAATCATGTTTTTTTTTTTCTTTTTAATGGAGTTCCATCAAAAACGAGGAAGGAAAAACGATAGAATGAATTAATATAAACCTGGACAGAGAGATGGAAGAAGAGGAGAGAAACAGATGGAGGGAACAGGAATGAAGTAATACGTGGGAGTAAAAAAGTCAGGTCATAAGAGGAAAGAAAAGAACATAAGAGTGGAAGGAAGGGAACAGAAGGATGGACATGGGGGACAAAAGGAGGAAACAAAGAAGGCGTAAGGAAGACAAGACAGTAAAAAACAAAGAAAAAATAGAAAGGACATTTAAAAATCACTTTATAGTCTCCATGTTTTTTTTTTGTTTTGTTTTTTTTTCTCACATTTAAACAAACCACCAAAATGCTGAAAACAATTTCCACATTTTTCCAGTCAGAAACTGGAAAAATGTCAGTGAGCCTCAACATCAAACTCTCATCAAAAATCCAGCTCCAGACTCGTTTTAATCCTCGGTTTGTTTGTTTTTGGCCTTTTCTTAGGTGAGAAGCCATTTGAGTGTAAGCTTTGCCACCAGCGCTCCAGAGACTATTCGGCCATGATCAAACACCTGCGTACGCACAACGGAGCCTCTCCGTACCAGTGCACCATCTGCCAGGACTTCTGCCCCAGCCTGGCCGCCATGCAGAAGCACATGAAGGGCCACAAGCCTGAGGACGTGCCGACCGACTGGAGGATAGAGAAGACGTACCTGTACGTCTGCTACGTCTGAGCAGGACTCGGACGCAAAAAACCGTCACGACTGGGTGAAAACTGGGGCTGCTGGTTTTAATGCTGAACCATTAAAAAGTATTCTGCTGTTGTAGGACAAAGTGTCCCTTAGAGAAAGAAAGAAAGAACGAAGGAAAGAAGGGGGGGGGAGGTTATTTTGGGGAGGTGGAGGGCGTTTTGTAACCCGACGGCGAGACGTGCAAAGCAGGATTACAGAAGTGTTTACAGAGTAAAGCTGCAGCTAATGATTACTTTTATTAGCAATCGAATTATTCCGAATATGAAGAATGCTGTAGAGACAACTTGGCAACGACATTCTAAAATAAATGAGTCAAATCCAAAGAGATTTACTTAGTCTTTCTCTAAATCTCAAACTCTGACATTTCAAGGAGCGGGGAGTGCGTCTGTCCTTGTAACAGTTAAAGAAATTAATTAGAAAAGCTGCTGACAGATTCCTGATGATTTAACTGTTCGAGTCCTCACACACAAAAACACACGTCTCCCCCGCGCGAGCAGTTTAGATATCATCGCCCGAGAATCTATTATGGTGAAAAACATCAACGCCACAGTGACTGACTGCTGACCTGCGTGTGCAGCGGCAGGATTTGAGCGACTGTCATCTTCAGTTGCGCCGCAGATGTTAAAAATATACCCTTAAAAGCTCCATTTGCTCAACTTCGCAACTTCTCTCTCCTAATTTTCTCTGACTTAGCTACGGTTCCCTGCTGGGTTTTCAGTTTGTTTTTTCTGCATGTTTTTTTTTTCTTTACTTGAACGGCTGACCTCATGAGCTTGATCTCTTTAATTGCCTTGTCTTCTCATGCAGTCAGCGTTGATTTGGAGGCGACTCGCTCGCAAATCGGAGTTGCTTCCGTGAAAGGTTTTTGCTATTTATATGTTGTTTATGTGTCACCAAATACATGTGCTGGTTTTCATCTCGTAGTCTGTGTTTGTAGGGAGGTTTCCTCGTAGAGCAAACTACCTCCTCACTAGAGACGCACCGAGAGACTGGCACCGGGCGAATTTCAGCTGGATTGGCCCTGATCAGTGATGGTCCGAATACAGTTGAACTATCTTCAGGACGCGTTGCTATAGCAGCACCAATCTTCACAGTAGATGCTGTTATGAAGGGAAGAAGCCTTGTAGTTAGCCATTTCCAGCGTCCTGACTAAGAATAAAGTCAGGAGAGATGGAAGAAGCTACTTAAAAGGAAACTAACAATTTGCTGCAACAAAGTGAGAGCAAGACCTGAAGCAGATAATAGTAAGGCTGAACAGAGAACAGCAAATCATTTTATTTTTGCATTTTCTGTTTTGAGTATCCATCCTTGTAAAGTAGTGAGTCACAAATCTATAAAACATACTTTTTAATATACACACATTTTTTACGTGTACAACTGGCACAAAACATTTTTTGTCAATTTCTCTTGGGGCCTCCAGACCAGCAGGGGTCCCCGTGGCAATTGAATTACAGAACAAAAATCCTCTTATTTTGTTTCTCAACCATTGGGTTGCAAATCAGCCATAAATTTCTTTGTTATCTTCTAAGTTGGAAACTTTACATTGTATGAATGTAGCCGATGATAAATGCAAACATTTTGTTTCATCACAGCTATCCCTGTAGTACTTGTGAGTAAAAAACTAAAAATACACCTGAGTATATTATACACATTCCAAGAATATGGTTTCAATAGACTTGGAAAGTTTGCTCAATATTCCAGGGTCAAGGGAATAATTGCAGCACCCGATGGAGAACTGCAGAGTGGATGTCGGGGCCATGGCTTTGGTTCCCCTGTAGTTCTACTATGTGCACTGAATTGGTAAATAGCACAGATACACCAAAATTTACTCACAATTTTTTAAACATCAAAATAAGGCTAAAATACATTTTCCCCCAACTATTTTTACATTTTCTTTCAAAAGGTCGAGCTTTTGTATTTTGAGTTTCAGAATTATTTATGTCCGCTCCTATAAAAATTTAAATTAAAAATTGCATGGAAATTTTCCAAATAAGAACATTTGTGGAATATTGCTACCCTGCTCTCACACACACACACACACACACACACACACACACACACAGCAGAAGTCCCCTTTGCTCCTAATATTTGAAACAATACATGACCTTGCCTGGCTAAAAGAAATTTGAGAATATTATTCTTATTCCGTCTTAAGTTTTGAAAGAGAAATTAAAAATCAGTCAAACTCTGCATCAGGAGACAAAGCCTTACAAAAAAAAAAAAGACAAAATTGGGTTACTGGTGGCACAATTCCAATCGGTGCGTCTCTATCGCTTACTGGTTTTTAATTTTCACTGCAAATTATTTTTCAGCAAGATTCATTTAACAAAAAAAAACCTATTTCCATGGTCAAACAGTGTGTGAAAAAACGTGACAAGCCTCTGCAAGGCTTTTAAGTGTTTATTTTTTAAACCATCGCTTCTATATAGATGTCTTATAAAAATCACAGAATCAGAATTTTCTATTAGAAAAGAAAAAAAAACAAAACATGAAGATAAGTTGTGTTTTTATAAAACGTGAGCAGAAAATTCTGACATCCAGCTCCCATGCGGTGCAGGTTGTGGTTGGTTGTAGTGTAGCTGTAAACGTACTGTCATGGTATGTGATTCCCCTGTGTGAGCCCGAGCAGGCTTTTTAGATCTGAACATGTCGTATTTTTTGTATTTCGGTAATTTGCTATTTGTTTACATTCGGTATGATTTGAGAGACATCCTAATGTTTGTGTGTGTGTTTTGTTTTTGTATGAGTTTGATTAAGACCCCTCCCTCGTGCCTCTTTTATAAGTAGAGCATAAATGTGCTTGAGTACATGGGTCTGTGCTGTCGGTAGGTGTTTTCTGGGTGTTTGTTTATTGTTACTAAAACTAAAGATAGACTGCCATGTAGATCCACTTTGTCTGAACATTGCAAATGGAAGCAACATACTGTGATAGTGGCTGATAATCTGATGCAAGGCCTGAGCAACTATTTATGGGGGAAGAAAAGAAAGAAAGAAAGAAAGAAAGAAAGAAAAGTGGCGCGGCTCGTCTGAAAGCGTTCCCTTCAGAGTGACAATAGACGGACTTCTCTGGACGATGAGCGAAATCTTGGCGTCTGCAGGCATTACCGATGCCTCTGTAAGTAGCCAACAACACTCAGTGCCATGAAAACCCACAGTCACTGTATCTATTCTACATGAACATGCACTATAAATGGATTTCCTCGGTGGACCAAAAGAAATAGAGCACTTTTGTTTGAAAAGGGTTTTTTTGTTTGTTTTTTTCTTTGATCTTTGTATGTTGTGATAATGCAGCTGTCTTTTATTTGATGTGTCCTAGAAGGATGTGATTAGCATTGTTTAGATTATGTCACTGTCTGTCTACCTCAGGACCAGATCAAAGCTCGAGCTGGTATCCAATCAGGGTTGTTCTTCTTGCCATGTGTGCAGTAAAAAAAAAAAAAAAAAAAGACAAAAAATGGGGAAAAAAAAAAGTCAGAAAATTCCCTCTTCATTACAGCTTTGTAACACAGTGTGTGCAAATGTTTTCTCAGTGTGGATTCAGGCACAACTCTGTATGCGTCAGTGTTCAGTGGCATGGTTTAAAAAAAGAATAAAACGATTTACTATTTTATGCACCTCGTCTCGGTTTCCTGCCGTTGCTTCTGTCTGCTTTTGGAGCTTTTATTTGATCCTCTCCGCACCAAACATGCACGTTATTTACACCTGCCTGACATGTTCTAAATATGCGACATCCTTTTACATGTGCCTATAGAACTGCCATAGAAAACAGAATCTATAAAATGTTTAGACTTTTTTTTTTAAAGAAATCAGATGATACTTTGCTCAAGTTTGTACTTGGAACCACTTGAAGCTGGCAGCAACTAAAGATTTTCCCTGCCATTTTTTTTTATACAACTAATTTATTCAGTACACTTGAAGCCGTTTCTATATTCTAATTATTTCAGCTGTCCCTGTTATTTCTGCCAGTGAAAATAGGCAAGCGACTTACAAGCGTAGAGTTTGGATATAATAAAATAATAAAAATACTCTCTTGCAAGGGGGAATATACTTAAACCCCACACAACCCAGTGGACACACGTCTGAAAAGGCTTGTGTAGTTGTTTTTTTTCCCCCTTTATTGTAGAGGCACAATCACGATTTATTATTTCAAGACGTTAGTTCAACAATACAAAAGTCTCATTTACCCTATTAATGATTCTAAGGTTGTGGAGCCAAACAGATATACTATCAATAATGAGTCCTTATCAATACTTGGATGGGATATCAGGCAGAAAGTGCCTGATGGTGTTTCTGAAGGTTATTGTCTGATTTTAAGGAGTCAGTTTGATGACATGTTGCAAAGTTGGCACATAAATTGTGTCCAATATATTTTTATTTTATTTTTTTGATTTTGTACATTGCTTAAAAGTTTAAACTGTGTACACTCTGCTGATTGGGTCGTCTTTCTTGGGTATATTTTACAGCTGAAAATGTAAACATTTCATTTTTAGAGAAATGTTTGAAGTGGCAGAAGTTGGATGAAATTGTTCCAGAAATAACTGGGGTAAAGACACCAGAGCTTTACAGGGGAGCAACACTGAGCATCAGCAGACAACCACAGTTAACAGGAATGAACAAAATGTTATTGTATTTGCTTACAGAGTCAGTTTTAAGCTCTACTTTTCATGGAACATAAAGGTTTTTGAAATTGCAGTTTTGATTTTTCAAAACATCTAGCCAAATTAATTAAAAAGATATTTTGTTTTGTGATCCCATTCCTTAAACCTTGTGTTGCAACACAGGACATCCCATAATGTGTTGGAAGCAGGGAGCCAATAAAAGTGGCAGAGATTTTATATTAAATTGTTTTGTAATTCAGGATTTTTTCCACCTACGTCATGATTCATTTACTTCCAGTATTTATCAGGGTTGTCAATAAATGCGGCATCCTCTGTTCTAAAAGTAATCAAATTGCAGGAAAATTGATCGTATCACTTAATTTTCAATATCTTTGCATAATTTTATTTCCTTTCAGTTAGTTTTTTTTCTGATCTTCTTTTTTTCTCCAGCATTAAAAATTTAAAAAGCGTTACCAATTGACAGCTTGCTTGTCCAAGTGATTGAAAATGCATAAATGATGGTAACCTAAAGGTAGAGACATTTGAAAAGGCAGAGCAGAAACGCCTCACATCTCTGAAGCTGCAGGCAGAAAACAGCCAGAAAAAAAAATAAAAAATTATTCTCATCAAGTGTCAGTCTTCTGTATCTCCCCCAACACTTTACCTTGTGGATAACCTCAACAAACATATGAAAACATCTGTTATGTGTTAAGGTCTCAGCCAAAGGCTATTTTAATTATGGATTTTGATTAAGTTATGGATTGATGAAATTTCGGGCCTTGGAGCTAAACGTAATCATTTCTGAAAGTCTTTCTGAGTTGAAACAATCACTCTTCCCTCCCTCCACTCGATTAGTTGAACTTTTGTGCAGACCCAGAGTGAAAGAACAGTAAGACAACCAGGTTGTACAGCAACAAAACTGCGTACAGGGGTTTGGTGTATTAAAAATAAATTTCAAACTGCATGTCGATTTAAACAAAAGGTCAATTTAAGATGAGAAAACCTAAATGAATACAGGGTGATGTCGATGGTGGTTGAAACAAATAAATTCCCTTAGCATCAAGCTTTTGACACTGGCACAATTTGGTTTGCATCATCATGAAAATGTTAATAAAACAAAAATGACTGATAGATTGGGTACAAATGGCAACAGAGCTGCAGTCAGATTCACATCAACGCCACAAAGTTGTGCAGAATCCAAATCATTAAATGTAGTGTTCAGTTATCTACCTCTAATCTACACTTATCAAGCCAAAAAATAAATAAAACTGATAAAAATGTGAGCATTTAAATGTACTTTTGTTTAGAACATAGCATGTGAGTAATTGGTATTTTTTCACCCCAAACAGGAATTAAAATGAATATTTGCTGAAGGACTGGTAACCATTTGCAACATCTGTAAAGAAAAACAATCATATACATTTATCTAAAACTGGTCAGCAAAACATTATGACACGTCAGTTTCTTGAAGGTACATCAACAATGTCATATTTAGACCCGAGTTGAGAGGCAGCATGCAGGGCAAGAACGGGCGAGGAACCCAAAACCTTCAATAATATACAGTTACATTTTGAGATTTAAAAACTTCTACTATAAGAGTAATAATTCAGAGTATTGATATATTTTAAAGTTTCCATGACAGAACTTATCAAAAGGTAATGTTTTAAGCCTCATCTTAATACAGTAAACTGGAAGAACCATTTCCATTAAAATGTAGTGAAACTGTGGTCTGTCTGAACCGGCTCAGCTCTGGTTCTGCCGCCCTTAGCAGGAATTACCTCCATCTGTCCAGATTGTTCCAGATCTGCCTGAAGCTCTTAAAGAGACTAAATCAATTACTGTCACAAGGGGAATATTCAATAATTAACTGGCCTTCAAAATTAACTCTAGGACCCAGGTAATTTATTAATAAAGTTTACGTTTTTTTCTTCTGTAAAAATGAAGCATGGAGAGGAAATGTATTAACATGAGCTGGCATTCAAGCTTTTAAGAATTTGATGAATCTACCTTACCCAGTTCAGTTGCAGGACTCAAAATTCAAACAGCCTCGTTGACCTGAAGGTATCCAGCCTTCCCCACATCTCATCATCTATGAACCAAGCAGAAAGGAGTCGTGCGATTCTGACCGTGCGATAAGACAGAGTCACTTTCAGCTCAGACGCGGGCCCCGCTCTCGGGCCGGAGCCACTCTGTGTGGGAGCCGGTTCTAATGTAATCTCCTCTGTTTAATTAGAGCCAGGGTGGTGGGCAGCTAAAGCAAACCACATTACTCACCATCTGCTAAGAGCGCCGCTGCTCTTACCCACACTCACTATCATTAGCCACTACAAGACAAGATACAAACACGTACATGACAGCCATTTATTCATCCTGCCAGCTCCGACGCGGACGCCATTTAGAGGCCCTCTCCTGCTGAGACCTGTCACAAACGCACTGCCCTGTGATTAATGTATGTTGCACAACAAAGCATCTAAATGAGAGTAGTCACCAGAGTTTAACCAGCAGAGCTGCAATCTGCTTTGCAAAACACACTCGAGCATTTTGAACAACAAACTATCCTCCGACAACTACCTTTATCGATTCAACACATGAAAATGCAGAAAATGTTGACGTTCACAATTACTTTTTGACAAGGTTATACATTTCTTAAGCATGAACACAGTTCTTCTTATGCACCACAAGAGGGCAGCATGTTACAGCAGATGGCTGCAGGAAGAGGTCCTGCGTTAGTTTGTGTGCGTTTTATGGACAGCTCACATGATGGTGTGTTGGTGTGTGATGCCAACGGCTCACGTAGCTCCGCCATGTCATTCTGTAAAAGGTCAGTTCAGCCACATCTGAACCTGATAACACATTTCACCCCACAGTACAAGGTTGCAGGACGTCCTGCAGATACAACGGCTTTTTGCAGAGACGTTCGCAGGAGTTGATACTTTGACCATGAATAGTTTATCAATCCCCCTGTCAGGAATTATTTCCACATCAATCTGAAGGACTCAGAAAAATAGATTCGACTTATGAGAGTCGGAATAAATGTGCTCGATTGTCCAAATATTCTTCACTAAAACACACTGATAATGAGGCACAGGAGATTTTCACAAGAAAAACAATGTTTCGATTTTAGTTAATAATGTCCTCAACTGAGACCAAGAGAATGACAATTTTGGTGAATATGAAAGAACGAGAGCTTTTCCTCAGGAAAAAAAGAGGAAAACCACAAAAGGATTTTCTTAATATGAAGGTTATTTTCAATAATAAAAAAGCCAATCCAAGTTATGTGTCTATGAAATATCCTGTGGTCAGAGGACTCATCATATACAGGTCACTGGTTACATAACACTGAAACATGATGTTCGTCTCTAATCAAATTAACATGAACGGATAAATTTAAACAAAAAAAGATAACTTCCAGGAACCCTGGCCTGGTTTTTGGTTCTCAGTGTAACGCTTTCCAAATTGCCAAATAAATTGCTAAATTATATAAACCAATGAGTGAAAAGTTTTCACTTTTTCCCAAAAAATAGATCACACATTTTTTTTGAAAAGCTTATTTACAACGTTTGAGCTTTGCAATGGGTAGAAACTAAAACTAAAATGCAAATTGGAATTAAATATTTGACTTTATAAGAATTGATGGTCATGAGACATTTCATATGGTAAACAATGCATCTACATTTCCATACAGAACAATACTGAAAGAACTAATTTTTATAACAAAAAAAAAAAAATTGCAATAGGTTTGAAAAAGCTTAACATTACAACAATGCACAGATGGCTAGGTATTTAAATATTTAAACATTTCATCTAAAGCCATTTTTATCATTTCATACAGAGATATCATGAAGGAGTTTATAGATTTGGACAAAAGCTTCCTCAGTGACAATAGCAGAGATGAGACTAAACTGATCTGCAAATAAACGATCAGTTTTATTCAACATTAATTCAAACGAGTGAAGAAAACCAAAAAGAAAACGATGAAAGGTGCAGAAACCATGCTTTCGAGTTCTCATGGCTAC